GAAGAGCGTTTAGCTTCATGGAAGTGAAATGCTAAAATTAGTGGAATACCCTTTGAAAAAAAACAAAACAAAGCTAATTCAAGATTCAACAAAAGTGCCATTAGAAGTGGCTCACAGTGATAAGCAAAGCATGATGCAAACGCATCTGAAATGATCAACAACGCTAAGCAGAGAACACAGTAATGACAAAAAGTCAAGGCATTTGAAGTTATGTGCTCATGTTTAGGCTGTTCATGTGGTGTTAAAGAGAACAGAAACACAAAGTGTAGTTCATAAGAACACACATACACACAAAACATGACTGTGGGATCAATGGAAAATGAAAACCCAATGTCCTCCTCATTGTAATAAAGGCACTATCGACTCTCTCCTGCTGGAGATAACCCTGTGACCAGTCAAAGCCCCGGTGAGCCCTGTACTCAAACATCCTCAGTCATTTCTGATTAGTACCTTTCCCCTGCTCCAGCTATCAGTTACATCAGCACCAGCTGGGACTTTTATCAGGAACGCACATCATCATGTCTGTGACAAAATACTGAAACAATGTGTTAAATGGCAAAAAATTAATAATACTGCAGTGGGAATAAAAAAAAAGTACTAGTCACGCACCAAAGGATGCAATGGGCCGATGTATTTTCTGTTACTACCATTTGGTCCAAAAACACATTTACTGCTGTCAATATAGTATTTACAAATGCAGCGCTGATTTTTGTTTTGTAACAGTTTCATCTTCTGTCATTTGTAAACCTGTACTGGTGCACTTAAAACCTGTGCAAAAAATAAAAACAAATACACCAGATGAGTTATTTCCCTTTGCAATCTGTCAGTAGAGAAAAGAAAAACCACTCTTTGTCCCCCAGTGTATATGACTTCTAACAGAGTCTCTGTGCAGCCCCCTTCAGTTCACCTTGGGGTAGATCTTTTCATAGAAGAAGCTCTGAGCCAGGACATACAGCTCTCCATCCTTTTCCCTCACAGTGTGGGCACGCACAAACTGGAACTGTTCAAGTGCAAACTCGTAAAAATCATTTTCAATTTTCCAGATGTTGGACTGCTGCAGCTTGGCTATTGTCTCTTTGGTGGGGGGCTTCTTCTCTGTGGTCTTTCGCAGGTGGGACTTCTTTCCTAGAGTAACACAAAAAGGTTTAACGAGCGTGTTGGTCTGGGACTCGCTGGGTTACTACCGATTGGTCGGGGAGCGAAACGCATGCTGTGAGATGATGTGGCTTATGTTGGTACCTGTCCTATAGAGCTCTGTGGCTCCCTTGAAGAAGCGTGGGAGCGCTGCCTCCAGGATCATGATAAAGTCCTCCAGCTCCTCGGTTACACCGACTAACAGATACTCGTTCACCAGGTTGTACTTGGCTTGTTCCAGGGCCCATCTGCTGCCTCCATTCCTGCACACAGAATACTACTGGTGAATATGAGATCAGTCTGGTGGCATTTCTACTGTCTGTCCTTACGTAGACTATGTGCTTCTGAAGCTGAATGCTCTATTTGACTTTGTGCTGTGGAAAATAGCTAATTACAACTTTTCAGAAAAAAAACTGCAATTGCAATTTAAAATGCAGTTGTTTCCTGTTCCTATCTGTGGGATCCTTTAAACAAGGCTGTACCAAGCATAATCACAAACATAGCTTGTTTCTACATTCATAACATCAGACAAAACATTGTTGCCCTGTTTGAAACTAGTCAATTAAGTCAGCCTTTAAGTTACATTTTCTGGTGAATATGAGATCAGTCTGGTGGCATTTCTAATGTCTGTCCTTACGTAGACTATGTGCTTCTGAAGCTTTTTAATAAGAAATTACATTAGTGATGCACCATGACATTACTCACAAATATGACATTTAAAAGTGACATTACATTTAATCATAACAGCCTCATGGATACAGCAGTTTCTACCCTTGCAGCTTGAGTGATCTTATTACTATCGTCATTATTTATTGGTTTCTTTTGTTTTTAATTGTTTCGATATTTTGGAACTTGTTGAACTGTGCTACACAACCAAAGTTATTATTGATATTAACAGCAGTGTAGCTGTTAGCACAGGGCTGCACTGAACTCAGCCTGTTACACTTTAATTTGGAAATAACTGGCAGATATCCTACAGTTCTAGTTTTAAAATATGTTCATTTATTTCACAGATCTCACTGCAGTGCGAACATGGTCCATTCCGCTGTGCTTCACTTAAAGAAAGACGTATTTGGTGTATTAAAAGCTGCAGTTAAAACATTTTGTCTGTACACAGCCTAACTGTAATGGCTCATTAGTTCATTATAAATGGAGAAACCATGTCTTATGTTCATTATTTCAATTCAGTTTTAATAAATAGCCTAAATAAATTTAATAAGCTTGAGAGATAATTGGGGGCTGTGGTTCAGTGGGTAGAGCAGTCGTCTCCCCACCGTGGGGTTGGAGGTTCGAATCTCGGTGCCTACAGTTCACGTGTCAAAGTGTCCTTGAGCAAGACGCAGAACCCCGAAGTTGTCCCAGATGGTTAGAGCCATCGGTGTGAGTTGGCGCCGCAGATGGCTGCCTCGGTTCTGTACCGGAAACTAAAACAGCACAATGCACGTGTTTAATTGGTCCATAAATGCTGATATGATCAAAAGTCACCCAACTATCCTTTGTTTTCTTTTTAGATTTGTATAAAACTTCATATTTTTGAATCTATTAAACTGTTAACTGCAAGTTAAATGATAACATGAATAAAAACAGATGGATTTGAATTTTTGTGAAAACACTGTTACAAAAGAATATGTGACAAAGATGAGTACTTACTAAGCGACTTAAGTATGCCACTGTAATTCATTCCAAGTTTAAAATAAAACAGTCAGTTCATATTTGTCCATAATTCAGACACCTTGCCAACTAGTCAGCAACAGCTTGTTTCTCCTTTAACATAGGCTAACATCCATTTTCTAGTGTCCAGGCTTTATAGTCTACCATTTCATTCCCATGAGTTATTAAGCCGTGGCCACAGTACAGTATGTCGGGGCCAGGCATATTCTATCTCGTTCCCACGTCTTTCTTGTTCTCACGCCTCAGTAAGTTGTGGCCACTATTTACTGAGGTTGTTTTTCTTTTCTCCCCAGTGTCACCAGAGTGGCTCCGCACATATCCTAAATACCTACAACGCCCATAATTTAGAATTAATTTGAGAATACATTCAATAAATCAGACCGTCATTCCCTGTTGGTCTGCCTCCCACCACTCAGACAGCGCTTTATGCATGCACAGTCATTCACCTCGTGTTGGCTTTACCTGCCTGAGACTGATAGACATGGGCCATCAGAACTGACCATACCTCTGAAGTCTACTGAGGCCTCAGTACTGTCTGAAATAGAGATTAAAAAGCAGATGGTACACGGCAGGTAATAAAAAAAAAGTCTCAACACAGCACTGCCAGCAGTGTGGGAGGACCACACAGCTGCGCACACTGCATGGAGCGTCCTGGAAGTGGTTGATGGTTAAAAATGCATTTGCATCTGTTCTGAATTGCTTTTAGGCTATTTAAGGCCTGCACAATGTCCAAGAGCAATCAGTCACTGACCCGTGCTCAGCCATAGTCTCTGGTGTGAGCAGCCATCAATTCCATCTCTGTTGGGTTAAGCCCTGGGCTCTGACTGGGCCACTCAAAGGACTAGCAAGTTGTTTTGTAGTACATTAATTGTTTAGGGGAATTATGGTGCTCTAGCACCCATCTTCTCCTGAGCTTTAGCCATCCTGACATCAATTATCTATTATTCCCCAATTTCACTTAGTGCAGGTGTCATGAAAGAATATAACATCGTAAATAAAAGTCCAAAAATGAGAACAATGGACATTAAACCTAAAAACAAAACACAAGCTGATTGTAGAGAAGCAGTATTGTCAAATATACAGTGAATGCTGAGGAATATGATGTCAGTAAAATTAGCACACAATGAAGTTAGTACAGACTAATGAGGGCAGCACAGAATAAAGGGGGAATAAACAATTAGAGTCTGCAGAACAGTGAATATTTACATGGCTGTTTTAATAGCAGACATGTTTACATATTGCATAAGTGGGCTGGCACACGCTATAAAGTAATTAATCCAACTTCGTGTCTGATTTGCCCAAATGATCCCGCAGTGTGAGCAGGTTACAAACATGATCTTAATGCTCCCGACTGGCTTAGAGTCCATCTGGCTTCAAATCGTAAATATCAAACATGTTGGATGTTTTTTTTTAGGAGTGTGACCCTGTGTTAGTATGCAATGATTTCACAACCAGCTGGCCAGAACGTTACAGTTTAAGAGTGCATAATATCACTGTAGGCACTTGAAATGGTTAATTTAACAAAGGTACGTGTTCTTACTTTAAACTGGCTGCTGTCTATGGCTTCGTCCTGCCTTACCTGCTCTACTGCAGGGGTGCTGCTGGTCTCAGCCTCCAAGTCCACAAGGATTCAACCCATTTTTCATACACAGAGCTCATCTGACAACATCGTTAGCTATGTGCATAAAATTAGCTTTTGTTTTCTTTCCGTACACAACAGTTAGCTACAATCAGCATAACGAGCACCGTGGTGGTTTTAGCGGAACGAGCAGGACCAGGCGTTTTGACCACGGAGAGAGTGAAGGTTTGTTGTTGTTGTGTTCCATTTCTTCAACAGGTGTGTGATTAATTACTCCCTTCATTACTGTTGGCTCTGCTGCACATACCAAGTGCTGACGTCTGTGTAAAATGCGACCTCGTGCCTGCGCGTCTGTCTGAGATGGACAGGGAGGTGCATTCACACACACACACACACACACACACACAACAGAGAAGCTTTATTTCTGTTGTTGTCACTTAAAATATCCCTGAAGCACTGAAATGTCTTCTCTGCTGTCTAATGACCAGCTCAGCCAGCGCGAGGTTAATGCATTGCTGCCGTTAACTGGTGGGACAATTCTTACAAGTATGAGTAGAGTACTAGAGGGTGGCATCAGACTCGATACTGGTATCGGCATCAGTGCATCCCTTGTTATTATGTTCACAAAAATGTGTCTACAGAGTAACTGATGCCAGCATGACAACATAATGCCCCATATACCACATCAACTGTTCTAGACAAATGTACATTTACTCAGAGCATGTGGTGCTCCTGAAGAGGCAGGCACAGCCCACTCACCAGCACTCTGAGTGGTGGCCACAAAAGAAGGGGATCTGCAGCCAGAGTTTCTCAGGAGCACAGTCTGATCCCCCTGATAACACACACTCATCAAAGGTCTGAAAGAAACACAAACACTTAGGCTCATTAGTGAATGTGCTCACAAACAAAAGGCCCAGGGGGTCATCAAAGACTGATGAATTGTAACAGCAGACCTTTTTGTCCCCTTGTTTCCTTCGTCGAAGGCCCGGCCTGTAGTCATCTCCAAAACGTAAGAAGTAGTAGTATGACACCAGACGCTCTATGGGGTCTCGCACCACATTTATGTACATTGGCTTACCCTTCACACCATATCTGAACAAAAAGAGAAGAGTTGATGTATTTTAAGATTTTATTTGCACTGCACTGACACACAAGGACTAGTTTCAAGTCCAACACACATCACATCATGTGGCTTTTATGCAACCTCTTCCATCATATGTTTATTCCACTACAGAATCAGCTTTTCCATTAGTGAAAGAGTGGCAGCATCTGGGAGGACTGGGACTGCCAGTTAACAGGATCCCTCTCAGACCATTAGGATAATTACCTGAGATCACTGAAATGATAGCGTCAGGGGAGATAAGGACAACAATGCTATTAATCAACACTAAAGCACAGGGTAGCAATCAATACCTCCCTTTATCTGCTCTGCTAACTGTTTGTAACTAATCTGGATATTAATGGTATTACAGAAAATAAAGGCCCTTACTTTGAGAAGTCCAGATAAGCTACATGGCCGTGATAGAAGCCAGGCTTCATCTCGCTCCACGAGGTGACGTTCCTGACAAAGCGCACCTGTAGACAAAGATAAAGAAAATAGGACCTAATTATGGAGTAGCAGGGAACGTCAGTAAACGAAAAGACACAGCAACAACTAAAAACGCTGGGTCAGAGAAGTAAAAATGGCTCCTTTTCCCAAAGACTAATAGATTACAATTTCTCCTCAAAAGACTCCCTGTTTTCATACACATTAAAAGCTGTAGTCAAGTCTTTAACAAATCTGACAACACTGAAAGAGTTTGAGTGATAAGTCATTGTATGAAAATCACAACAGCTTCTAAAAAGAGACTGTTGTGTTTATCAGACGACCTCAAAATAGTCGTCAGTCAGCTGGCAGAGTGGTTCACAGGTTCCCTGTGTCAACAGGGTGAAGGTTTGGTTTCTGAATCAGGGCTCACAACAAAATTAGCTGCGATTCAACAAAAAAAATAACAGTAAACATTGTGAATTCTATGTCTTGGCACATGTAAATCAATTTAGAAAATAAAATATGATGAAACTACTTATGCATAAAAAATATGCACTTAAAATCCTGTTAAGTTTCCTTGATACAGACTGCTGCACCAGCTGTGTGCAGATTCAAAGGTAACTTTGTTTTCAGCCTGAGGTAAATGTCCTCTCTGGCATGAAACAAACAGACCCACGATGCATCTGAGAACCTCTAGCTGGATGGTATTTAACTCTTCAGTGGGAGAGTTTTTCAAAGCGCGGTAATCGACCACAGCTTTAATTACATTTAAAATTTGAAGCAGTAACACTACTAACTGTTGTAAATTTGACCATGGTTTACTGTGACACCGGTAACCGTGTCATCCTTACTAGTGTACAATATTTGATACTTCACTCTCACCTTAATAATAATAATAAAAAAAAAGCAAGGTTACACAGAAGGAGCCAATAAACGGCCACTGAATTATTAATGAAGTAAAGGACAAACATGGATTATACGCCATATGTTAGCTTTTTCCCAAAGTCTTGCACAGTTGTCGCTAGGTCTCCTAATTTCAGTCACTACTTAGTGGCAGCTTTAATTCCCATTTGATCCACTTATGTTGCAGTAGGTGAAATGGCACTTTCTTTAACAATGTTTTCATTATGGTGGGTTGCGAGCCTCACTTTTGTGAAAACAGAGATAATGTTAACATCAGTGTGAAACTGCAGTAACTAGTTACGTTACTGAACTGACTTTAGGCCAAAACATAATCAAACCTATGCTAAACTGCTGCTGATACTTAGTACTGTATTTTACAGAGGCCACTTGAACTGAGAAGATTAGGAATAAAAAAATATAAACCGATTTAAATACTTTAAATAGTGCATGCAGCCACACGAAGCCTTAAAGGCAAATTCAGGGGCAAAAGGTCTCTCACACACTGCTCACTGCAGCTGGTCAACTTGTTGCCGAGAGCACAGCAGCGACTGAACGCAACTCAGATGAGCACGTCAACATTCTCAGCTCTCATCTAGACTATTATGGCAGGACAATACAACGACAATGTTCAGAAAGAGCTTAGTGAAAAAAGGGAGCTATAAAAGTTGGGTTGGGCAAAAATAATGATAAAATTTTAAAAATAAATAAAAATGGGACTTTTTACTCCCAGTGCAAATGACACCCTTGGTAAAGAGTATAAAATCTCTATCACAGTACTTCAGTTTATTTTTTTATGCTGCCACCCTTGAATTAAACTGAAGGGGGCACATTTTAAGAGCTGCATGATGTATTCGGGGTTTTCAACTGATTTGGAGAACCAATCCTCCGATTGGTCCGGCTTTCAGGTCCCGCTGACTGAGTCCTGCCACTCCAATCAGGCTCCACCAATCCAGAGCTTCTAGCTGAAGTCAGATAAAAGCCATTCGGAGCACAACTAAGTGGCAGCTGTGAATTAATTTGGGCCCCTCTGTTGTATTAGTTGTTTGTGATATAGTTGTCACTTGTTTGAAGAACTGCTCGTTTGAGAATGTTAACTTGTGAGTCACTCGTCATTTCTCGTTCATTTTTGTGTGCTTTTCTCTTCCTCTGTAGATTGTATGTTCTTCTGAGTTAACAGGAGCAGGGGCGGTTGCCTTGGGTGTATTTTTATTTGACAGGTAAGAATAGTGTAGTAACCAGGTTTTTGTTTGTTTAATTTCTGTTTCTAGGTAGGCAACTGACTACATGCACTGGTTTAGTTACAAATTTAGGTTTTTAGGTTTTAGACACCATCCACTGCATCTCCCTTGCATCACTCACCTCATTGTTTCTTGTACTGACCATTTAATTTGCCAGTCCACTGCCACAATAAAAGGTAAACTACTTTTCTAGAACAAAGGCGTTGTGTTGCTCCCCTTATCCCTAGATTGCAGCTGGGTTCCAACACTGCAGGCGAATTTTGCCCTCATTTACATCACAATAAAAATGCTTAATTTATGACCAATTGGTCGCTTTGTAAGCCTTTTTCACATCACCTGAACTCACATGATGCTTTGCAAAGTGATTTGCTCATGTCTCACAGAAAATCTGAAGAAAATAAAATCTGTGTCATGCCGTGCTCAGCGGGTCTTCAGCCTAAGTCAGTACTAGTTAATTCCAAAATCAGAGCTGGAAAAGTGACCACACTACCCATATCCATCTGTGTGTAATCTACTACTGAAAACTGAATCTTCAGTCAGTGGCAGCGTCCTGCCAGGGAAACGTCGTGTACACCATATCTGTGTTCTGTCCTCTGTGGTTACAGCTCGATTAGAAGAAGATAAACCCACATTTGTCTGTTTTGTTGATTGAAACCCTTTGACTAGACTAATAGAGACCTTTTGGAATACAAGGTCATTTGTTCTGCTATTAATGCAAATTTTCTATAAAGCCATCAAAGCCTGTACAAAGCCCCAGTTGCTTGTCTGCAAATAAATGATCTCAAGACAGGTTGGTTTCCTACCTCACTCGGGGTAAAGCAGAGAGAGGTGCTCTCCCTTATGTTTGATCTTTCTGTGTGCATTCTGGATGCTTTTTAATGTTTTAGGGATACAGACTGATGATATGAGCTTTAGTGTTTTGTTTTATGCTAATGATATAGTATTGGTTGCTGAAACAGATTAAGTTACAGAAAATATTGAATATTAAAGTTTATGGTGTAATAAATGCCGACTTGCTATTTACACAGATTATAAAAAAATAGATTATACATTTCAGAAAGCATTAGGAAGAGCAGAGCGCTTGTTTATTTCAGTTAGGTTGCATATCTCTATATCATACTAAGTACCCTGGTTTTGGTTTTCATGAAAATATGAGCTTTGCAGAGGGAAGGAAAGTGGTTGCAGATTCAGCTGGGAGGGTCAGGGTCTGTGATAAATAAAAACAAACTATATCTTGATCTAGGGTTTTTAACTTTTTCAAAACTCTTTGATTCAGCGGTAGGATCGATTTCATTTTATGGAGCAGGTGTGTGGGGTTTTAATGGTGCTCCTGTAACTAATTCAGGTCAAAGTCATGCCATTAGGTGTTTTCTTGGGGTGCATAATATACTGTTGAAGGTGATATGGGATGGGAAACATGTCTCATGAAGCATAGATGTGAAACACCTAGGCTGTGGAATCACCGAGGAAAAGACGACCAAAACAAATCTTTAACTGGTACAGCGCACACAATTATCTGTGTTCAAGAGAAGCAGCTATTTCTTCCTGTGGATCAGATTTGATTTTTTTCTAAAAATATTTGTAAGAAAATCCACAGTAGAAGGAAGAGATTTGGAATAAACATAAATTTAGGATTTATGTTCAAATTAAGGATGATTATTCCACAGAACCATATATTTAATTTAATTTACAGAGAAGGCAGACGTCCTCGTGCACTCAGTTAAGAACTGGTAGGCTTTCAATGGCAGGTGAGGGAGCCAAATATAAAGGTATTCCTGAGGCACAGTGCTGGACACCTTATGGTGCAGGACACTTAAATAAATCAATCAAACAAAATCAAAATGTACACCAACGCTCCTGAACACCAGTAGCCCAAATATTACTGGTTTATGTGCTGCAGTACTTGATAACAATTGTTGTAAAAATGCAGTCTATTAAACTCAACCCCTTCACCCAGTATTTTCTCCTACATAATTTATTGACAGCTTTGAGGCAGATGGTGTTCAGAATGTTCCAGAAACTCAACAGAGAGAGACTTAACTGACAACACTAGTGGTGAAGTTGTGCACTGCACAGATGTGAGGCAGACAGTTAACAGAGCAGGGTTAAAAGCGTCTGTATATCCTTTTAAGTAGTGAAGCTCTCACATTGAAACGTCTCATGTACCAACCAGTACATCTCTGGCCACAACAATGGCCTGTTTCTAATTCCAGATTTTCAGATGAGATGATGAAGCCTGTCATAAGATGACCGTCTGACTCTCCATGCATTATGTTATGTCATGGGGCACCCCAAAATCTTCAATCTTGACTTAAGAACCCAACATGCATGCAATCATTTATTTTAGCTCTCATAGCCAGTATTTGTATTTTTCATCTCTATTACATGGCTCTCATTGCCAGTATTTGTATTTTTCATCTCTATTTGCTCATTAGATGTGTAAATACTGTTAATTTTCTCTTCCATGTAAGTAAATCTTACTCTAATATTGAAGTCTCTAAACATCTCAAGATCCAGAAAAGCATATATATCACATGTATTTGCAACCCAAGCTCACTACATGCTATAGCGGGTGCGTTGCCTACACACCCGGTGAAGCAACACACATTTTAGTTGCTGGGTATGTGTAGCTTTGAACTAAACTTTGACATCCCTGTAATCATGTGTGAGCATTCAGGAGAAATTGTATTCATGGCTTCTAAATCCGACAACAGTTCATATTCTTACTTGGTCTTGTAAAGACATGACAGGGTTGTTTTTGGTTGTGTTGATGTGCAAGACATGGAAGTGATTCTTCCCACACAGGTCGTAGGCGATGTTAGTGAAGGAGGTGCTGGCAGTTTTGGGCACTCTGTTGTAGATGATGATCATGTCATCTTTTTCCGCCAGTGGTGATAGCTCCCGGCTGACATCTTCACTGTGGCGCTGCTCTACTTCAGCCACTTCGTGTCTGGCAATGGTACGTTCTGAACAAACAGAAAACATGATCTTTAGTGGAAGTCGAGTGAACAAGGTGTGATTCTACTTTATCCAGTCTGTTCCTGCTGGGGGGCTAATGCTAGCTTTTAATGATTAAGTACTGGCTGTATTTCTCTGTTGCCTGGATTTTAATGAGCCAAACATTACTTGATGCTTATTATCATCCCAGTGTTTCCTACACACTGATTTTTTTGTGTCAGGCCACCAAAATATCAATACTGACTGCCACATATTGATTTAAAATAGTATAAATTGCATTTCAATGTAGTGCTGTGCATAGTGCATGTACTCGCTCAGACCCTCCATGCCCCGCTTTTTCTCACACACACACACACACACACACACACACACACACACACGACGTCTGCAAACAGCTCCTCCTCTCCATGTTCGTTTTTTTACACATCACTGTCAATCACAGAGATCCCACTCTTCTGATATGTAATTAGCAAACCAGTAAGGCTAGCTAAGATCGTGTTAAAATATAACTGTTTCCAAGGTCAGCCCGCTGTATAGAGCATGGATGTACAGTATATGATCAATGAGGGAAGAGCCCCTGTGAGCTACCACCACAAGTATAATTCTGTGGGAAACACGGCATCCTCATTTGGCAGCACACACAGCAGGTGCAGGACACCACAGTGAAAGAAAACAAAGGTATAGCCGCTGTATAAATGAGAAAGTCGAGGTGAGGCTTGTTAGCATGCCTTAATTAAGGAAAACAAGACAGTTCTTCAAAACACAATAACATCGAAACAAGTAATTAAGCTTTTGATGATATTGACAGGAGGCATAATTAAAAATGTTTTCTCCCACTTCTTTTCTCCACTGAAATGTTAATTAAAGCCAAAACAGGAATGTCCTTGTATCTGTGGGACCGGCTGTGTGTTGCTCAGTGTAATGCAGGCATCCTGTTGCCCAGACAGCTTTCAGCATCTGACACGATGAGACTTGAAAGGTTTGGGAGAATGCTGCTGTTGTTTCCACATTCAGCATTTGAACAGCTGGCAAAAGATGGTCCAATGCTCTCATGTCTAGACTGGGCCTGGTTTTTACAAGCATCTGTCTGACTTGAAAAAGAAGAGCTAAGTTTACTCTACATAAATTTAAAGTACAAATTCATTACTCCCCAGTTCACATTGATGCATTTGTGACATACAGTATTTCCTAAATGTGAAGTCAGTGACAAAAACTGCCTGTCTGGACTTGCAGCACATTCATCCAAAAACTTTACAAGCCTGAAAGGATGCACTAGAGCATATATGTCAAACTCAGGCCCACAGGCCAAACCTGGCCCACGGTGTAAGTATATTTGGCCCGCGAGATAATTTCAAATGTTTATTAGAGCTGGCCCGCCCATATATATTGCATGCACCGCTAATACTGCAAATCCCAGGAAGCTTTGCTATTGCGTTGGCGCGTCAATCAAGACCCGCAAGCACCTTCTGTTGACATTAGCAACCTCATGCTACCAGTCATCTCGGGCAAATTTAATCCACCCCTCCCAAAAATGACCAAACGAAAGACGGAATATAGGAGCTTTCAAGACAGGTGGGAGGAAGATTATCTGTTCAGACCTGTTTTGTCCTGTGTGTGGAGCCAACGTGGCTGTGACGAAAGAATATAACATAAGAAAACACTATGAAACAAAAGGTGGTACAAGATAGGTACAAGGACCTGGACATGGGGCAGAAGCTCCAGAATGAAAACAAGTCTGGTTTCACAGCAGAAAATGTTCACAAAACAATAAGAAATGAATGCCACTGATGTTTTTTTTATTTGACATTTGATTTCTCATGTGTTTAGAAGATTAAGCTTTGCTTGTTCCAAATTCAATGTTTAAGCAACTTGTTTGTTTCATATGAAAAAGTTTACTATTATATATATCTGGAGAGAAGGGGAAAAATGCTCAACTTTATTCAATATTTCAATAAATATAGAGTCTGGCCCGCAACTTAGTTTTGGCCCACTGCGTATTGGACACCCCTGCACTAGAGGAACACAGTTTCTACATGAGCAGAGAAAGGTACTGCCCCCTGGAGAACTAAATGGATACAACTTGTCACATGCTTGAGTTTACTCTCTAACATCACTTTGTTATTCACTCTATAAAGCTTTATTGCATGATTATCATGAACTGTTTTGTGACTTAATTCGATTTCAGTGACTGTCAACTAAGTTAAGTGATTAATAACTCTGACACATTTAGGTTTTTTTGTTGTTGTTGTTGTTGTTTTGGTGCTTTGATTTCTTTAGAAACTGATCCAACTACATACAGGACATGAGCTAGCTGGGACTACTGATGAGAACATAGCCTGTTAGTAAGAAAACTGAAAATGTATGGCGAAATGTAATTGTGTCTTCTGACAGTTACTTCATATATGCTCCATGACGCTAAATTTATCAACATTTTCTTTTCTGATGTAAACAGCATTCTGCTTGAACAATCTATGCTTATAAATTAACCACCTTTGTTTTGGTCTTACCCAGTCTGGCTCTTGACTCGTCCAATTTCTGGATCTGGTTCTCTATAAACAGCATCGCCACTCCAAAAGCCAAAACTGCCAAAAGCTGGATCTTGGGCGACATAATGATCCTTAAAACACCCATCAAACATCCAGACGCATCATACCACGGATACAAACGCACACTGAAGTCCAATGCTAACGGCTAACTCAACAAATGACCACCTAATTAAAACGACTCACTTTAAGCAAATCAAATAAAACGTTTTGCTATCGTTAGTTGTTTAGCACCATTAGTTATTTAGTTGTTACACGGGATAAATGGCCGTTCAACCGGGTTAACCAAACGTTAGCCAAACAAACTAATATTAGCTTCTCTGCTAACTAATATTATAAAGCCCCGCAAAGCTAGAATCATCGTTAAAAATCAAGACGCTGTTCACTCGGCACGTTTAATTTAGGCTTGTTTTCTTTTAATTTGATATTGAGAATGCAGAGACCACAGAACTCCATTTAAACACGACTTGAAATGAGATAAAATAAATCATCAAACATCATTCCAAAATACAAATCTGTGTGCAGCAGGTAGCATCAACAACAGCGTAGCTTCTTCTTCTTCTTCTTTTTCGTACTATTTACTGTAGGGCACCACCTACTGGACTGGGTCGTGTACCTTGTGTTACAAAACGGTAAACGAACATATTTCAAAGAAAAAATTGGGCAAATAAATAATAATAATTAAAAATGCACAAAGCAAAGCATTTTATCCTTCTGAAAAATATTGCTTTGTTGGTCCAGCTGTAATGTTTTAATCTTCCCCTTCCCCATTTAAGTGCTACATCTCTATATTTAATAAAATGCAGAACATGTTCTCAGTCTTACAGTACATTACACCACTGGCAAAAATTTGAGAGTTTCATTCCAATTAAATACAGTGTGGCATGAAATGTGCCAAACCTTAAATTACTTTTCATTTGGTATGCATGTAAGTGATTCAGGTTCAAGGCATTGTCTATGACAATGTAATTATGTAATTATCACAAATGTAATTATGGTTCTTTGGACAAATGCCAAACTCTCTGAAATATATGTGAATCTTTGTGAGAAAATTTTTAAAGAAACTAGAATTTTCTAACTATTGTAATGTTGTATTTAAAGGTGCTAACTATATAACATCTATCATTATTATCAGCATTATTATATTGTTATGGTGGTGTAAGTGATGTATCATGTCTTTGGTCATGTCTTAGATTAAGCTGCATTCATGTATGTCAATTATATTTGTGTGGTTGAAATTGCCATTTACAGTAACTAGTGACACATTTGACCCACATTTGAATCATGTAGCTTCTCTGAATGTTTTGATGATAAGATGTGATGGTAAAGCTACAGTTAAACAGACTGAAGGAACTGTGCAATTTATTATTCATCTGTAACATGTACAAAGGGAAGTGCCTTTTCTAGATCCATACATGAACGAATCATAATATCATAATCATTTTGTAAATCTGTTTGGAAAAGTGATTACAGTTATTAAAATTAATAATCTACTATGTAGGTTCTTTAAATTTGGAAATACAGGGTAGTCGGGCACTTAAATATTTTAAAGTGTTCAAAAAAAGGTCAGTTGTGAGGAAGTACATAATTCATTTTTCATTATTATTACTCACAGTATTTATAGACAAACATCTCTGACAATTTATCATTGTGCATACAATACGTTAATCTGCTAAACAAGTGGGGGCGATATGTATTTGAATACCACAATATCTATTAAATACTAGTTTTAGATTGTATTACAATCTGACTGAATATAAAGTACTTATTGGCAATACAACATGACACTGATTGGGCTTAACAAAAGCTAAAACAGGCACAGGTAATATTAAAAGACACATTAAGATTGAATGGTGTAAACATGATTGTAGCAAACATTTAACAGAAACTACTGATAATAATGTTGGAGGAACTGACAGTTATTGACATAACTCATATTCTCCAATAACATGGTGACGTGGTCTCTTATTCACTGGTGCAGTTGATCAGACCTCAAATGTCAAATCCATCTGATCAAAAGCCTAGGAACAGGAACAGTAACTGGTGCTCTTAAACAAGCTTGTTTCCTCACCCACTGTGAAGTGAGAAGTGTGTTGAGATAAAGATATTGTCACAATATGTTATCAAACATTTGGGGATATATCAGGTAACTTCTTATTTTTCTCTAAAGCTCAGATAAAGACCGCTTCTACTTTCTGAAAGCCAGCTGGGCCAAATACAGATACTACATGCAGAACAAGCAAGCCATAAACCTTTAGGATGAGAATGGAAATATAGCTTTTCACCATGAAATGATCCATTACAAGTACACTCCTATCACCTTCTTTGTAATAACACAGAGATGGAAACTTACTTACAGTATATACAATGGGACAAATCAACAGAAAGCATCAAGTCAGCTAATAGAAACAGGTTATGAATGATGAACATGCATCAGCATAGGGGCTGGGATAATATGAGACAAAAAACATTAGCAGCTATAAAATGTTGCTTTCCTTGGTGGATATACATTTATTTCACAGTTCTACATATATATGGTTTAATCCTCATTACTGAAGCTGAATGACAACTGTATTGGCTAACTGTTTGCCTGTACAGATTAGCAAAATCTTCATCCAAATCTCTTTCAGTCCCAGGTTAAAATTTGATATTGTAAAAATGTTGTCGGGCATAAGTTCTCCTCATAAACACAAGCTGCAACAAAAAAATATACTCTATTGTTTGAAAGGTCAGGACTAATTATTGTAGATCCAAGTCTCTCATACATTTAGAAGTGTTGTAATACTGCTGGCTACCTCTTTCTATGCTCTTTGATATGTATATTGTTGCTGATGAGATTAATATGACTAAACTTGATGTAGCATGTCTTAGCCTCCACCCACAGCTGCCCAGCTCTGTTGTTTCATTACCTTCAGGGGTTGTGTTGGCATTTTCACTGACAACAACAACTATAACTGTAGATCCACTTTTATTCTGTGTCACTTTTGTTTGTCTCTTGCTTTTGCTAAGACCTGATTCTTTGCTACGGGGGTTAATGTCAAAGTGGAACGACATGGTGGAAAAGTTAATATAGTGAAGACAACAGTCTTCAGATCTTTGTCCTTCAGGAAACATGTGCTCTGAAGCAATTACTGTACCTGCACACAGAATTTGCAGCTTTGTGTCAATATAAGAACATTTGCAAGCAAATCAACTGCAGTGCAGGTTCTACTTGCTGCCTTTTTTAAAATGAAATATCCCAAAACCACTCACCAGCCAGGAGCGAAAGTCCAGTGAATTCACATATGAGGTGAGCACTCACAATTTTCAAACGTTTTATGTTATAAATGTATCTAAATCCAACTAGGAGAAAGTTCTTAGAGTTAATATTTAAAGCTTTTATTTCCAGGGTTATTGACATTTTTCATGTAAAATTTTCATGTAAAGTCATCTTGTCTCTGAGCAACATGTCCAACTCTATGGTCTGTATGTAAGAAATCTGTCCCTCATTAGATGATAATGTAGTTTAGTGGAGAGTGATACATCTCTTGTTGTAGGAGGACATAATGTTTCACCAGTGCTAAGTCCTGCTTCAGAGCAGTAATGTATCTGTTAGCCACTAGGTGGAGGCAGAGTTCCAAGGATGAAGCCATCGTGGTTGGACATACAGTACAGTCCATGGTCCGACCTCAGTAAGACAATGTGAGTTTTCCATCTGAGGAAATTGTGTCTAAAAGCCAGCACCAAACTGTTGCTTACAGATTCTCTATGGGATTGATCATATAATCCATACTGTACACACACTTCAGAGGCAGCGTAGTCCTGGTGGGAGAAGAAAGGTGGAACTTCTTCACACTTCAGTGGAAAACAGATAGTTTGGTTTCTATTTTGTTGACTAAATAATGAAGATTGTCTACTAGTTGTATATTTGTCACCAGCACTGGGGTAGAGCTCAAATGCAACGTGACTTTCCATACCTTTCACCGGTGGAGGCAACAACAGCGCAGATTATCAGAAAAAAAAAAACATTTTAAAACAAAAGTTCAGATATCACAAATAATTTCCAGGTGGCTGAAATAATTATGTATAAATGTTGTTTCCTGTGTTTGATAAGATTTTGTTAGCAGTCGAGTTACTGTGATGCTCACTGGCATAACTTTATCTGGGTGGTGGGTATATCCTGTAATTCTGCACCAAAATACCAGCCACAGCATCTCAGTCGCACCTTTCTAACATGTATTTTTCTAGTCTTACATTCTCCTTGTGTTCGAGGAAGTTTAAGTGCAACATGCATGAGTCACCATTTTAGGCCACCAAGAAAAGCACTTAGAGAGTTAACAGTGTTCTCCAATAAGGTCGAAGGCTAAGTTGGAAAGGAGCTTAACCAAGGTTTGTCACAATGTCTTAATGCAGAGCCGTTACTTTTCTACCAGTTCTGAAGCAATTAATGACTCTCTTTTAGTGTGATTAAATGTTACTACCTACTTATGCTTTCATTAATTGCATTATTGAGAAATGTGATTTCACGCAAATCATCTAAACAGTTTTCTGCCTGCTCCCTGGGAAATTAAAGCATATCCCAGAGGAGAAACTGTACTGTCTTGCTCTCACAGACCAATACAGATACATTGAAAATGTTGAACCAATAATAAACAAGGCTTACATCAAAGATGCCACATCTCTCTGAGAGGAACCATTTGTTTTAATCAATTACCATGAAAAAGATGAGAATTATTTTATTTATTTTACAGCACTGGAGGGATGGAGATAACAGGTAACAACCATGGATAAACTGATGACCCCTGCATTGTCTAATGATAACACTAATAGGATAAACAAAAACACGTTCATCAATATGGTTGTTTGTTTCAGATCATCACTGCTATGACAGGATATGCACAAATTAAATTATATTTAACACTGGAGAGGAGGTCATTTCATTTTCTCCTTCATTTCTTTCATGTATGAAAGTTTTCTACTTAATTAAAATGAGTGTTTAATTGTGCTAACACACGGAGCTGTGCCCTGGTGGACACGGGGTCCACCATCTCTCTGCTATTCCCAGGGACATTGCTGGGGACATTGCATGAGAGGGCCATGTGGCTGGAGAGCTCTCCGTGTCACCACAGTGACTAGTGTGAGTACACAGGTGAAGGGAGAAAGGACCCTCAGAGTGACTGTTGCTGGCTGCACCTTGGAGGTGCAGGTTGGGCAACATTCAAGATCCATGCATTATCGGCCCTGACCTGCTGGCAGAGTGGGGAGCCATGGTGGATGTGCCTGGGGCTACACTATGCCTGGGTGCAGATGTTGTGACTCTCTATACTGCCAGTAGGTAAGGGCTGCGCCCAACCATGACACAGGGGCGGCTGGCTGAAGAGTCACACACGTCACCACTCTCCTTCAGCTGCCCAGGAGCCACCAGAGTGGACTC